CAGGGCGCTCTCCAGCAAGAAGATGTGCCCTGTGTGCCGCTGGCGGCAGTGTGAGGCCAGAAGATGCATGCCTGAGGACCTCGATGGCGCTCTCCAGCAAGAAGATGAGCCCTGTGTGCAGCTGGCGGCAGTGGGAGTGCGGAAGATGCATGCCTAAGAACCCCAAGGGCGCTCTCCAGCAAGAAGATGAGCCCTGTTTGCCGTTGGTGGCAGTGGGAGGCCAGAAGATGCATGCCTGAGGACCCCGAGGGCGCTCTCCAGCAAGAATATGAGCCCTGTGTGCCGCTGGCGGCAGTGGGAGGCCAGAAGATGCATGCCTGAGGACCTCGATGGCGCTCTCCAGCAAGAAGATGAGCCCTGTGTGCAGCTGGCGGCAGTGGGAGGCCAGAAGATGCATGCCTGAGGACCCCAAGGGCGCTCTCCAGCAAGAAGATGAGCCCTGTGAGCCGCTGGCGGCAGTGGGAGGCCAGAAGATGCATGCCTGAGGACCCCGAGGGCGCTCTCCAGCAAGAAGATTAGCCCTGTGTGCCGCTGGCGGCAGTGGGAGTGCGGAAGATGCATGCCTAAGAACCCCAAGGGCGCTCTCCAGCAAGAAGATGAGCCCTGTTTGCCGTTGGTGGCAGTGGGAGGCCAGAAGATGCATGCCTGAGGACCCCGAGGGCGCTCTCCAGCAAGAATATGAGCCCTGTGTGCCGCTGGCGGCAGTGGGAGGCCAGAAGATGCATGCCTGAGGACCCCAAGGGCGCTCTCCAGCAAGAAGATGAGCCCTGTGTGCCGCTGGCGGCAGTGGGAGGCCAGAAGATGCATGCCTGAGGACCCCGAGGGCGCTCTCCAGCAAGAAGATGAGCCCTGTGTGCCGTTGGCAGCAGTGGGAGGGCGGAAGACGCATGCCTAAGAACCCCAAGGGCGCTCTCCAGCAAGAAGATGAGCCATGTGTGCCGCTGGCAGCAGCGGGAGGGCGGAAGATGCATGCGTGACGACCCCGAGGGCGCTCTCCAGCAAGAAGATGAGCCCTGTGTGCCGCTGGCGGCAGTGGGAGGGCGGAAGATGCATGCATGACGACCCCGAGGGCGCTCTCCAGAAAGAGGATGTGCCATGTGGGCCGCTGGCGGCAGTGGGAGGGCGGAAGATGCATGCCTGAGGACCCCGAGGGCGCTCTCCAGCAAGAAGATGAGCCTTGTGTGCCGTTGGTGGCAGTGGGAGGCCAGAAGATGCATGCATGACGACCCCGAGGGCACTCTCCAGCAAGAAGATGAGCCCTGTGTGCCGCTTGCGGCAGTGGGAGGGCGGAAGATGCATGCCTGAGGACCCCGAGGGCGCTCTCCAGCAAGAAGATGAGCCATGTGTGCCGCTGGCAGCAGCGGGAGGCCAGAAGATGCATGCCTGAGGACCCCGAGGGCGCTCTCCAGCAAGAAGATAAGCCGTGTGTGCCGCTGGCAGCAGTGGGAGGCCAGAAGATGCATGCCTGAGGACCCCGAGGGCGCTCTAAAGCAAGAAGATGGGCCCTGTGTGCCGCTGGCGGCAGTGGGAGGGCGGAACATGAATGCCTGAGGACCCCAAGGGCGCTCTCCAGCAAGGAGATGTGCCATGTGTGCCGCTGGCGGCAGTGGGAGGGCGGAAGATGCATGCCTGAGGACCCCAAGGGCGCTCTCCAGCAAGAAGATGTGCCATGTGTGCCGCTGGCAGCAGTGGGAGAGCGGAAGATGTATGCATGACGACCCCGAGGGCGCTCTCCAGCAAGAAGATTAGCCCTGTGTGCCGCTGGCGGCAGTGGGAGTGCGGAAGATGCATGCCTAAGAACCCCAAGGGCGCTCTCCAGCAAGAAGATGAGCCCTGTTTGCCGTTGGTGGCAGTGGGAGGCCAGAAGATGCATGCCTGAGGACCCCGAGGGCACTCTCCAGCAAGAAGATGAGCCCTGTGTGCCGCTGGCAGCAGTGGGAGGCCAGAAGATGCATGCCTGAGGACCTCGAGGGCGCTCTCCAGCAAGAAGATGAGCCCTGTGTGCCGCTGGCGGCAGTGGGAGGCCAGAAGATGCATGCGTGAGGACCCCGAGGGCGCTCTCCAGCAAGAAGATGCCAGGTGTTACAGTCACCCCGCTATGATAGGCCGCGTGAGCAGACCTTGGGCAGGGGGCACACGTGATCAAGGGGCATCAAGAGAGGGGGTGGACCATGGAGCACCCTCTCCATGGCTCCGACCACCCTCCCCCCAGCTGAGCGTCCCAGGGTCACCCCACCCTGGCCCCGCTCCCCGTCCTGCCGGACACGCAATTCCCACAACGTGGTGGGGGACGTGGGGATCCTTAGCAGCTTAGGCCTGCCAGGCCGACGGGTGCCGATGCTGGTGCGGGCTCCCGGCGGCAGGCAGCGCCGCCGCCGGGCACTCAAATGGCATGGGGCACATGGGCCCCCATGCCCGCACATCTCCCAGGCACATGAAAATACCAGAAGGCTGCACATGAAAGGGTGCATGCATTGCAGGCAGGAGTGCAAAGTGGCCTGCCGCGGCGGTCGGCTGTGCCATTACTCAATCAGCCGCCGCTACTGTGCCGGGCTTGGCGTTCCCATGCCAACATGCCGGCGTACCATCGCGCAAGGGCCAGTGAGTGTGTGAGGTGGTGGTGGGGGTGGTGGGGGTGCCGCTGACCGCTGCTTGCTGACGCTGACGCTGCTCTTACCTGCGGGGGGAGGGGGTGGGTCGGGAGCCAAGGCCGGGCAAAAGATGCCTGGGCCCTACTCAAGGGAACCGGGGGAGTCACTGTGCCAGGGCAGCAGCATGCTCCTCATGGCACCGGTCGG